ATCCATAAAATGTTTACATAAATGGAAATGTTTACTAGAAATCGAAAGCATTAGAGATCGTCGAACACTTGCCACTATGCCAACCACTGTCATGCCTCGATTTTAACCTGTAAAATTATTTGTAGGGATGAGTACTATAAATAATACTTAGTAGGAAGCACTTAAGTAGATGATAAAAATATATATTTTCAGAAATGCAAACTTTATTCGATTGTATCACCGTCAATTTCAAGCGAATTGGTGATCAGTCAGCCCGCTTACTTTTAGGTTTTGATAACCCCATTTCATTTATCATAATCATCTCTTCATATCTTGTATAAACCACCAACCGATGATTCCATCATGAGAAACACAATAAGAAGTTTAACGCAAACGAAAACATATAAATCTTACATCACTTACAAAAGCGCCGAAACACCTCTACCTTAATGTTTGGAGTTTGAATATCCTTTCGTGTCCAAAGGAATAAACCGAAGCGTACTTCTTGCCTTTTCTTTAGAAATTCCAGATTTAAAGTACTTTATGTTGATGAAAGAAAAAAGGCGAAATAACTTTATGTAAGAGTATAATAGTTTGGGCGATAAAACATGGCTAAAGGAGTTGAAATTGAGAAGGCGGCTGAGCATGCCATTCCATTTACACTAGAATTTTGTGTCTGTGCATGAGAGAGAGATGGGATTATAATAAAACGTTACTTATGCGTGTGAGTTGGGGACTTTTAAAAGAAAATGGCTGTTTTAATTCAAATTCTAAATAATGTGGCGGTGGTAGATGTATTAAAAAAAATGGAGGTTACACTCGAGAAAATGGGGGTGGTGGTTATATTTAAAATTGGAGGTTACAAAATTAAGTGGGGAGGTTAAAATTTAAAATATTGACTTTCAAATGGATATTGAACAGGACGTACAGTAGCCTCCAAACTCAATAGCAATTGATGATTATGGTGGTTAATGGTAAGTTGAAATGGTAGTTTTATAAATAATATCTTGGATCATAAAAAAGACAAACTTCCAAATTCAAATGGCAAAATGGGATAGGAACGTGCCATTATAATCCTTTGAATTCATATGGCAATTTACGGGAATGAAATTGGTTTGTGAGATAATCAAACACTAAATGGTAGTTTTAAGAAAAAGGAAATGAAACTGATTGGCAAAGCAGTTAATGGATTTGGAATTTATTAATATGCAAAGTGGGGGTGGGGGGTGGGAGTGGGGGCTTATGGCCTTTTTGAAATGTTAGTTTTCTAACAATGAGTATGGACGTGCCTTTAGAAATTGTTGGTGGTTATGGTTTTGAAATGTTGATTTTCAACGGATGAACAGGGCACGTAACTTCCCAATGATCAAATGACAAAATTTTTATTTATATAAATATATATCTTTTGATAGTTAACAACAAATAAAATGGAAGTTTATTAAAATGGTAAGTTGGAGTATAAATGATGGATGATAAAACATGCAAGTAATATGTCCAATTTAAAAAATAATAATAATGATAAAATAGTTTACATAATGGAAACCGAAATGGTAGTATTAAAATAAGTGTGTCATAAGAAAAATAATGTAACCAAATTAACATAAAATTTTGTCGGTTAATAGATATTTTAACACCTTGTAAAATTTAAGAAAATCAAGTACGCGAAATTTTACTTTCGTGACCAAAGTTTAATTTGGACTATTAGGAAGTATCGTAACGACATAATAATATGACTCAAATTATATTTGAGTCCCATAAGAAAATTTTATTTTGGAACGAAACAAAATATTTTATTTTTGGTCTCTACATGTGGTGTTAAAAAATTATCAATGACTAATTTCTTTATTTTGCCATAATTTAAAAGGATCACTTGTATTGGAAGACAAAGAGGACAAATTAGATGAAGAAGACGATATTAAATTGAAGTTTGATAAAGAGTTAAATTAGATTTAAATTCCTATACTATTTATTTATTATTTTGTATTTAAATTTGAAACTTATTTTTTCATTAAAAACCTTGAAAAATGTATAACGTTCCTATAAATCTTTTTTAAATGTTTAGTAAGTATTTTTTTAATTATTAAATAATTTTTTGATTTATAAAAAATTAAAATAATATTAAAATAAAAAAACGTTTTTTTTATGCTTTTTCATGCCTAAGTCTTGCCTAAGCTCTCATTGCCGATAACTTGGCCTCAACGCATCGCCACGTATTAAACCTTTTAGAACACTGATTTTAACTCAATATATAAGATATTTAATTTAACTTTTTCTTTCTTCTATTTTTAACTATATAATCTTTAATAACATAATATTACACGTAAATCGAAAACTTCATATTCTTTTATCCCCATCCATTTTTCGAAAGAAAACTATTACCCTATTATATATCCAAATAAAGGGGGTCAAACGAAGGCTAAATCTTCTTTGATAGGGCCACCTAGGCCCAATTAGGTGCCCTGTTTGGACTGGGCCTACGTGGTCCTATCCATCCAGCATTCCTAGGGACGTTTAACGTAATACATTTTCAGTCTTTTATAAGTTATCTTATATATTCACATTACTTTAATTAAAGGAGATATTTTTTATAATGTATTGGAGGAAACTAGAAAATCTTAAGAACCTTGATATATTAATGAAGTGCACCATGACAATCAAGAATCTGAATTTGGTTGAGAAGATTGATAATCAAGTTATTAGTTGTAAAAAAAAAAAGTAAAAATTTTAAAAGATTTATACTAATTAGATAACATCCAGAGTTTTGAAAAGAATCTAAGGGTGTGTTGTCTTCGCGTTTTAATTTTATAGTTTTGAGTCTTGAATTCATCTTGAGTTTTGTATTTTGAGTATGTATTTTGAAATTGTTGAAAATACGTTCTGTTTGACATTTTGATAAATGTTCCTTAAAACAAAAAAAAAATGGAAAACGTGTTCTGAAATTCTTTGAAATTTTGGAAAATGTGTTTCCCACCAGGTCTACCACCATCAACCACCGTCGACAGAAACAACTACCAACACTACCATCGACCAAAATCAACACCATTGTCACCACCATCAACCATCAAAACCACTGCCACCACCAACCATCAACCACTACCACCACCCACACCACTCACCACTGCCAAAATCAACACCACCCACCACCACCATCAACCAATGCCACCACAAACAAACCATTGCAACCACCATCAACATCCATTGTCTCCCAAATCAAAAACAAAAAACCCCCCAAAAGAGAGAGAAGGCAGATTCTGGACAAATTTACAGTGTCAATCACCCATCGCGATGAACTGCAGCCTCTCTCTTCGATCGTCGGCAGAGACAGCCCCAAACCACAGTAGCGTCAGCTTCCTTGGGTCGCGACGCTGTGTTCATAGCAGCATCGCGTCACCACGCTGGTGCTGACACAGGCACATCTCCTTCGTCGCCGATTGAAGTGTGCGACCAAACATAACCCACGTCAATCACCCACAGCCGACATCCAGGAGAGAAGAAGGCAAAGAATGGATTCGAAAAAAGTGATGAAGATTTGGTTTTGTGTTTCAAAAGGAGAATGAAGATTTGGTTTTGAGTTTCAAAAGGCATGTCGCTTTTTTTAAAATTTTATGGAGTTTTGTATAGAAAACAGTCAAAACGACATTTTGGTCGTTTTTCGTTTTCTTCACAATTTTTTTTTTAATTTTTTTTTTTTGCGTTTTCAAAAATGGGTAAGAGAACACGTTTTCACTGTTTTGAAAAATCATAAACAGAAAACTGGCCGAAAACGGAAAAGAGAGCACACCCTAAATTATTACTAAGGTTCATAACATTCTTAGAAATCAAGTAAATGTTCATGAATAAAACAACACACGTAAAGATTTGATTAACGTACCACAACATCATCAAAATGTCTCCTAATTTTTCCTCAAAAGGGTTCTTAAAGATTAATTAATTAAGTGTTAAATAAAATTATATTTGATTCATTTACACGGTTAGAAATTTCGATGTAAACAGTCCTAGCTATCATCTCGTTCAACACGTCGACGTACAGTAGATTTAAGTTCTTACACACTCTAAAGACAATCATAAAACAATAGAATTTCGAAAAGTAAACTTAAAATGCAATATACAAAATATTATAAGTTCACCACCTATTTCATCTAATCACGGCATCAATGCATTAAATAAAGTACATACGACGATCTCAGAAAAGAATTCTGTCGCAGTTGTTTCTCACATTATAAATAATTAGGAAAAACTCTCCAAATTTATATGATAAATTTATAATTCATCCACGGAAAACATATCAATAGGCATTAAATAGAAAATTAATTAATTTATAAATGTTAAATTTTTCATGAACCTCGACTCGATTTGAAATCATTTGTGGCTAAAAAATATCAATGGGCATTAAATAATATTCTGTGTCATGTACATAGCATAATGTTTATCTCTTAATGGAATTTGAAGGCAAAAAATAAATCGTGCAAGTGTTAGAAGTATTTGTGTGTGTCGAATATCCTAGTTGTTCTTTCACATTTTATAACGTTATTAGCCGATTATTGTACTTTCCGCAATTATTAAAGAAAAAAACCTTGTGAAACGACGAAAATTAGCATATATAAGTTTGAATTTTTGTATATTCAGTCGTCTACTCCATCGATAAATAATGTCGTGCCGAACCAACAAATTACTATTGTAGTGACAATACTGATCTACTACGTATTTATATTAATATTATTCAAATGTAAAATCTCTAATTTAAATAAAATTACGTTTTAAAAGACTCTTTAAATTAATATTTTAATTTTCTATAATTAAATTTATTTAAAATATTTTAATTTTCAATGTAGAAAAATTAATAAAACAATCAATAGAAAATTTATTTAAAATAGAAGATAAAAAATAATAAAATTAAATATTAAATATAAAAAACTTGTTGAAAATACTCTAAAATTTCAACCCTCTAAATTCATAAAAATTCTCCACATAGTAGAATATGCACGTTAAAAATAAAAATTATCTCTAAGATACACTAAAAATATATTCAAATAAAACAAGTTTTATTCAACAAAACATAGAACATCACACTTCAAAAGTCAACCATTTCACCAACAACACAGTTATAAGATTCATACACCAATACATATGAACGCATACAAAATACGTTAGACTTCAAAACAATTTCTTTGTATTTTGAGTCTTCTAACCAGAAATCTCAATGGCTTTGACATCAGGCTTCTTCACCTCCACTTTGGGGACAGTTACAGTTAACACACCATTCTCCATGCTGGCCTTAACCTGATCCATTTTTGCATTCTCAGGCAGCCTGAAGCGGCGGAGGAATCGGCCAGAACTCCTCTCCATACGGTGCCAGGTATCATTCTTCTCCTCTTTCTCCCTGCTCCTCTCTCCACTAATTTGCAGTACATTACCTTCCTCAACCTCAACCTTTACTTCCTCTTTCTTCAGCCCCGGAAGATCCGCCTTAAAAACGTGGCCTTCCGGCGTCTCCTTCCAGTCAATCCGAGTGGCAGCGAACTGAGATGTCTCGTTGCAAAGGTCGGAACGAATCTGAGTGGAGAGTGCAGAATTAAACGGCCAGTCTTGAAAAGGGTCGAGAGAAAATGGATCCCATATGTTGCTTCCTCGGCCAAAAACACTTGGAATTAGCGACATGTTTAAGAAAAAATAAGTGAGATTTGGAGAACTTAGATGTAGATTGTAGATTGATCAAACTGTCAGTACGCTAAGAAGTAGATTGCTTGCTGGGAATCGTTGTGCAGCGGGAAATTGGAAGTGGAAGAATTTATAGGAGAGCATATGGTCGAATCTGCAAGTTACATGAAAAATATGGAGAGCTCCAGAGCATTCTTGGAGAAATATTCGTCGTCAAAAACTTTTCCACAAGAAGATATTCTAGAGTAGCCTAGAAATGTAATGTTACCAATTCTAGGTGGCCAAGTGTCCGAACTTTTCTCTCTTTTTTCCCTTCCATTTTTATGTTTGAGCCCGTGAGGCCTAAAAATCAATTAAAATTAATTTTTTTAACGTTTTTTCACTTTCAAAATTGTAATTTTTAAATTTTTTTCACAAATAGAATTCACTTTATTTCTAATGATCAAAAAATTAATTATCAAAATTTCTATCAAACAAACACTATGTTTGGTCCGCTAAAATATCAAATTAAAATTTAAATCAAAATAATTAATTAATTCTTGCAAATTAAATTTTGGATTTTAATTTAAATTAAGTCAAAAATTTATTTTAACTACATATTTTATAAAATTCACAACTTTTAAATCACACATTTGATTAACTTTCATCAAAATTTACGAAAATTTTGATTTTCAAAGGTTTTAACTCAACAGTTAAGGTATTTCAAGTTATTGTTTACTTTAAAGACAGAACATCAAATTCATCTACTCCCTTATTCTTTTCACTTGTATGCCCATTTAGGATCATATGTAAAGGGGGTAAAGAGAGAAGTCAATGGAGAACTATCAAAACCAATGACTTTTCTTTCTTCGTATTCTTAATTGTTGGTTATACCTCCCGTCGGCATTCATAAGAATAGGCTCTTATTATCGGCTATTTTTGGAGTGCCATTTGCGCTCTCCTAGGGTGCAATCGTGGGGAGTGTATTGTTACAATCCAAATAGACCTTATGCTATTTTTTTTCTAATTAATGTAAGGTATTGTTATAATATTGTCAAAAAGATATTGGCTTTTTTTTTTTTTAAAGAATAGATATCATAAAAAATGACTTTTTTTAACAATATGTGATTAAAAATTATGAATAAATTATATATCTTACGTGCAAAATAATTTCAAAATTATTACTTCAAAGAGATTTATGCTGTTTCCATGCCTCCGTGTCTTTACCGCAAGCAAAGAAATTGATGGAAAAACATTCATGTACTAGTTTTAAAGGATTTTATAAACCTATTATCAGAGGATTTACCGGGTGCTTCGCGTGACAAGTGGGTAAAATTTACAAGTGATTTAGTACCAGGAACGGGGCCAATTATCAAGACTCCCTACTAAATAACACCAAAGAAATTGTAGAAGTTGAAAATACAATTACAAAGATGAAAGATAGATCGATGATTTTGCGTATAAATGATTGAAGTTGAATTGTTTAAGAACAAATGACATATTTCGAGAATAGAAGATTTTTTTCAACAAATTGAAGGGAGCTAAGATATTTTATAAGAATGGCTCAAGGTCACGATATCATGAACCGAATGTTAACTCATGTGACATTCTAAAGATGGAATTTTGGAATTGCTATATGGGCACTATAAATTTCTAGTCAATTCATATTTATATCTTTTAGTGTTATTAATGTTTCAACAATTTCATGGATCTAATAATAGAGTTGTTCATCAATATCTGGATCAAATTATTATAGTATTCACTGGCGACGTTATGTTGTACTATAAGGATTAGTAGCAAGAAAAGCAACTCAAAATGGTGTAGGACGCATTGCACATAGAGAAGTTATATCCCAAATTCAAAAATGTGAATTTTTTGTTGATCGAATAGGTTTCCTCAACCATGTTATGGCTTACCATAGAATCAAAGTTGATTCAACTAATTTGGAGGCTGTAAACAAGTGGCCTAGACCATTGAACGTTAATGAAATTTGCCTCATTTTAGGACTAGCGGGCTATTATTAAAGATTCATAGATGTTTTCTCCAAGAAAGCTAGATCGATGACTCATTGATAAGAAAGGCATTAAGTTCTAGTAATAAAAATGTGAATATAGCTTCCAAGATTAGTCTAGTTATAGCAACAATCTTGACAGTACTGACTGGGGTTTATACTTTTTAAAATGGTGTACAACGACCTAATTTTCATCTTTATCTACTAGAATTTTTGAATTTACCAAACTTGTCACCTGATGCTACCAAAAATCGTACCTGTTAATTTCCCGATAGTCTTTCGGTACCTAAAACAAAAGTAACTAGGTATGTTCTCGTCGCCCCTCCAATGCTTAAGTCAGAAAAGGAATTATGTGCGTGAGGCTATAAATTGAGAATAATGAGAACGTACCTGAATAATATCCAAGATTGTTATTTATAGAGGTAGGTAGTGTACTCCTAGTAGGATTGTGCAAATTGGACGGTTTATCTAGTGGACTCCTGTTTGGGAAGAACGTCTTATTCGTAATAGAATTTTATGACCGGTGGTGTTAGAGTTGATAAAGAGTCCTTGGGGGTTTAGGTGTCTGTTTGTCGGCCATATACATATATCTCGAGGACCTCTCAATGAATACTGACCTGATGACATATTCTCGAGAAAGTAAGAAGTGAGTTTCCATGGTCGTGTGAGCAAGTCATCGAGGATTGCATCCTCAAGGATTAAAATAGTCATCGAGGACTACCATATCTCGAGGACCTCTTGGCAGAAAAGTGGGGTGGAACACGTAGGCAGTCCTCAAGGAATAGTTCTCGGGGTTTGCAATATTGGTACTATCACTGGCCCCCGTGCACCCCTCATAGAGTGCGAACTCTGGGATTGGGTGCACATGCTTACAAATACCTCGCCATAGGTCGGTCGTTGGGAAATATGGGCTGACGATAAAGGTCGGTATTGATATGACCATTGCAGAGAGTTGGCTTGGATGAGTGACATGTGTCTCCATGGACAGTCAGAGATGGCGACCTTTGGCCTCCTGTCTTTTTCACCTATAAATACTGTTGTTCACCCCCTCGTTTTTCACTTTTACCCACTATAAATCCAAACTCTGTGAGATCGAACTCGAGCTAAATACTTTGGAACTTCTCAAGTCGTCGGGTAACTCCAGGTAAGGCTTGAGACTCTTAAGTTAGGACTTAAGTTCTTTGAGTAATGTCAAGTAGTGAGGGTTGTGATCTATCTAGTAGCTCGAGTAGTAGCGAGGATGTAGGTACTTCGATAATACCAACGGCTATTTCCCTAGAGGCTACACCCGATGCTCAGGTTAATATGATCTTTGATTATCCCGACGAGCCCTGTAAGTTAAAAGAACATTTAGCTATTGCTGCGGCTAGGGAATATGGCCTTATGCCTATTTGTGACGTTAGATCCCCTAGCCCCGAGGATAGAATTGTTCGATCTTGACGAGGGGAGTTTGTCATTTTTAGGGAGACCCTTAAGGCCGGCTTTAGGTGGCCTCTTCATCACTTTTTTATTACTTTATTGGTCGAGCAGTCCATGTGCCTGGGGCAATTAGTGCCCAATGCCTGGAGAATGCTTGTGTATTTCTTTATAGCTTGTAGGTACTTAGATATCGAGCCAATGTTTACCTTTGACTGGTGTTTGAGCTTAAGAAACATCCTCAGTATACCTGTTTTGATTATCTCTCGATGATAGGAGGGTTTAAGGTCCCAAGGATGGCGAGTTCTCTAAGAGGGTGGAGGGAGGGGTGGTTTTATGTTATTGCTCAAGAACCCAACCCTCCTTTCTGGCCTGATTGGGGGATTCCCGAAGTGAAGAAGTTCTGTGGCGGCCAACTGTATCCAGATGTGTTAGAAGATCATAGGAGGATGCTGGTGGGGCGCAACCCCCTTTTCTCGACGATGTAGGAGATTGGGGAAGAGGTTATAGATCTAGCAGATACTAGAGGCGTCGAGGGTAGGGTTGTTCTTTTGTTTTTCCAAAACAGTTTGATCTAATGCTCGTTCTAAAGTGTGTGTTTTCTGTTCTTGCAGGTATGTCGTTTGATCCTCGAGTCCTCCACAATTTTGTTAACACAAGGGCTGATGCCCTTCCACAGGGCCAGCTTCCGGCAAAGAAAAAGAGTAAGAAGAGGCCTCGATGCTTACTCGAGCAAAGCATGAGAGTGCCTACCGAAACTTCTCGAGCAAAGCCTCAACCCTCGAGTCCCGTGCATTTGAGTCAAAGATCTCCTACTCCTTGAGTCGTTACTTCTTGACCTCCTTTCGAGGTAGTTGATCTCAAGGATGACACTGTTCCTTTGGTGAATTCCCTTATCTAGACTTCGAACGGTGCCACCTTGTTCCCGGTCTTGTTTCCAAATGCAAGGACGAGGTAAAGCTCGAGGACGGGATGAAGGTTCTCGAGCTCCTCACTATGAAGGTAATCCTCGAATATTTGATTTAAGCTTTCAGTTTCTTCCTCGAGATTAATACTCCTTCATTTCTCTTTTAGACGTTGAGTATAGCTCGAGGACTATCTCTTCAGGGAATTGAGGAGGCCAAGAGAGCGGCTGGGGTGGAGACCTCAATGGCTTCTAAGGACAGGAGGATCCTTGAGCTCGAGGCTTTGTTTAAAGAGTGTGATAACCTAAAGAGGGAGGCTACGAAGGCTCGAGACGACCTTGGTGTTGCAAAGGACGAGGATGAGGCCGAGGATGCGAGGTTCAAACTTCTGCAAAAGATAAAAGAGTTCAAGGGCAAGCTCGCGGAAGTTAAGGAGAAGGTCTGATGTGATACGGGTTTCGCCAAAATGAACCAAAGCATTGGGGTTTGATTGGAAGAAACCTAAACCAAGTTCGAGTCTTCGGGAAGCTAATACGGATGGCACAATTGATGGATCGAGGCATGGAGCATACTATGTTGAAGTCCATGAGCTAAGTGACAACTTTTGTGTTGGGGTCGAAGTCCGAAAGCCTATGAAACAACATGATTCAAGCAGCCGAAGAAGAGACCAAACTATAACTCCATGTGACCGCACCGTGTCGTAGGCATGCGGTTGCACAGGTGGCTAGCGAAACTCGAGAGGCGGCAACATCTTCAACCATGCGACCGCACCAAGTTCTACAGTGCGAAGACGTAAATTTTCAATTTTTACGAAATTTTAATTTGATTTAATTTCTTA